GTTATATTACGAATAAAATATTGACATTTGCCATCTCCACATCATTGCATTCAGTTTTTATTCACAATTTGTTTAGTGTCCCAAATTTTTTGGAATCTGGTTTGTATTTATTTTCACTCTTTTGTCTTTATTTATTTGTTAATCGTTAGGCTTCTTGATCTGGGACCTGAGTCCAAATTTTTGTACCATAAACATGCAAAAGTGAGATGTTATGACAATAAAAAAAATCCTTGAATCCTTGATCTAAACAGCTCTGGAGCAGGTGGTCAGATCAGCCTCCGTTACCACAGCAACCTCAGCTGTGGCTGAGCGGTTAAAGCAATCGACCTCTAAAGCAAGAGTTGGGGGTTTGATTCCACCAGCAGTCACATGCTGAAGTGTCCCTGGGCAAGACACTGAACCCCTCGTAGCCTCTGATGTGTGTCCCATCAGTGTAAGAATGTGAAAAAGCTCTGATTAATCTTTGTATAGATCTAATAGAGAGCTGTATGAATGGGTAGATGAGCAAATATTGTTGTAAAGAGCTTTGAGTATCTTGATAAGATGGAAATAATAAATAATAATAATAATAAAGTGCTCTGTGATGTCATCATTGTATGTTCCCATACAAAGAAGAAATTGGCACTCTGCATTTAACCCATCGCACCTGGGATACACCCATGTGGAGCAGTGGGCAGCTATGTAAGCGCCCGGGGAGCAACTCGGGATTAGGTGTCCTGCTCAGATACACCACGAGTTGTGCAATGACCGGGGACTGAACCCCGGACATTCGGGTCACAAATTGGCTGCCCTGCCCCTACACCATCTCGGAAGAAGCTATACAAGTACAGTCTATTTACCATTTACCATGGTGATCTAACCTCCAGCTTCTGTTACCATGGCAACCTGACCTCCAGCCTCTGTTACTATGGCGATCTGACCTCCAACCTCTACCATGGCAACCTGACCTCCAGCCTCTGTTACTATGGCGATCTGACCTCCGACCTCTGTTACCATGGCAACCTGACCTCCAGGCTCTGTTACCATGGCGATCTGACTTCCATAAAAATTCAACAGAACCAGAGAAACGGGACATCTCCAACCTTGGATCTGTTTTAAAACCATTTTCTCTTTAGTGACCAGCAAGGGACACATGCTGCTGCAAACGAAAGCAGCTCTCCTGGTCTGCAGAGGTCGACTTGAACGCCTTGACTCCTCCGGTGATGGAGCTGAAGGTCTTCAGAAGCTCCTGCAGGAGCACAAATTGGAACACAAACCTTCACTTTGTCTCGGGGCAGCAGCAGCTCCAGCGTGGCCACGCTCGTCTCTCTGAACTTCCTGTTTCCTTTGCCTCTTCTCACTGCCTGAGCTCGAATAGACTCCAGAGCGCCCCCTACCTCCGGCGCTGAGAGACCCAGCTGGGGCGCATAACGCTCAGCCAGCTCCTGAGGGACAACAACAACAACGGAGATAAATAAACAAATAGCTCCTTTAGACCTGTGTTTGGCTGC